AATTAGAAACTCAAGAATCTTTTTAATATCAACTTCAGAGTATTTGTGCGAGCAATCAGAATGTTTGAAAACAAAATAATTTTGAAATGTCCAATGACAAGGTAAATAAATTCACAAGATCTATTTTTATTGAAAAAGTAGCTATTAATGATGTCAAAAAGCTTGGACTTATCATGGTGAATGTTTGTATATAACGTTTAAAAGTCGTAGGTTTTAATGATGTTAATTCCGGTAAAATTTTGTGATTTCATATTTTCCAAAAGTTCCTTAGAATTTTCAAGTATCCACATCTGATTTACACAACTTCTCAAATATATTGTTGCACAGTTATATCGAATAAAAAAGAAACAACAATGCCTAATTTTGTTTATTAATTCATACCTGTGATTGATGCTTTTTAAGTTTTTCAAAAATATACCCTTTGTGTGACACAGCAAAAAAGTAACATAACTTTCTAAATGGTTAAAACAATACATATAAGAAATAAAAAGTGAAAGTTAAAGTCAATCTTAGGTTTTGTGTTTTCTGTTTTAAAACGTTCGACGTTGGAATTTCGTTGCACGGGGGTATAAACTGATATGAAAGACTCCTGGGGAGAGCTAAAAAGAAAAAGTCCTAATAGAGACATTTTAAGTGGATTTTAATTACCTGAACTGTGACACTGTAATCAATGTAAAAAAATCAATATTGATTAGATAAAGACAATGTTAACTCACATACCGATTATACGCTCGATAGTTCTAGTAAAAAATGATTTTGTTTGACAGACAACCATTGTTTTAACATTTAAGAAAGGTTCATCCCTTTTAAAAGAGAAACAACTAAGAACCTAGATAGTAATCAAAAGAAAACACTCCTTTTATAAGGTTCGTAGATATTCAAACACTTATCCTTCCATTTAAGGATAAAAAACAATCTGTTTTGTTATTTTGAAGTAAAAGAGCAGAAAACTACGGTGGAAGAACTTTGCACAAATGTTAAATAACAATCGATACGTTTGATTTGAAATAACTATGTTAAAACGTTTCGACACTGATTTATATAAATATGTATAAATTTTAATTAAAATTTGACATTAACATTTTTCAATCTCAACAGACATCAACAGATACTTCTTTTATTCGTGTATGCAGACAATGAATTATCTAATCTTGAATTAGGAAGAACTTAATTTTTTTCTTCGTTATAAAATATTTTTTTGGCATATCAATTATCACTTCCTTAGATTTCCTTGAAAAGATAAACATTCTATCAAAGAATATGGAATTAAAGCTATATAAAATGGTCTATATACATGCACAAGGATTGTCCGGTATAATCGTGGTCAATTTGTATAGGGTGAAAGATAATCATCACTGCGTTCAACATTTTCACTACTTTTAAGTACATTATTCATCAATAACATTGCAAATTTCAAAATATATATATATGCATGAATAAATAAATAAATAATGAAATTTTATGTTATGTGTTGTATAACCTCTCGGCCCACGGATGATAACGTCCAAGTGTCTCTGCTTAAAAATAAGTTGGATACTAGTAAGTCTCTCTTAAATTTAGGAATTTCATTGATGCAACTACATGAGTTTCCTTTTTATTCCTCCATAAACAGACGAGTAAAAGATCACGCACACACATGGAACCTTCTGAAGATTCTTTTGTAAGTTATGGACAGTTTCCTTACTATCGTTCAACTAAATAGACAATTTTATATCGACAGTTTACAGTGAGAGGGTCTTTCGCTATTACCATGATAGCTGTTTGTCCGTTTGTTTTGTTTTACCCGGGGTCTCGATCAAAATGTTACCGCTGAGAAAACTCCCATTTCACTTGTATACTAAGTATCTCGTGATATTTTTATATTTTGTTCTGTATTTTTAAAAAGTCATTTAGAACAAACTGAACTGCTCTCCTTTGCAGCGTAACGCCATCAAACGTAGCCATTTTTCGTGTGTTTTGTTTCCAACACTTTCCAATTTCGACTGCTTGAGAAAATGCAAAAAAATTTAAAAAAAATAAGCAAATGTCTTGATATTTTCAAAGTCGGCACAATACAAAGTGGATTAAAAATATAATTTTTATCCCAATCTTAATTTCTAAATTATATACTAGTATATTCTCTAAAAAAAAAAAAAAAAAAACCCTGTGCTTAAAAAAAACAAAAAAAATAAAAAAATTAAATGTAAAAAATAATAAATGTTTGAAAATTGCTCAATGCGTTCATTAGGACCTAAAAACCCTGTGCTTATTTAAAAAAAAACAATCAATCTTTACTTTTGTCTATACTTTATCCAAAAAATTAAGATGTACTTAAAATAATAAATAATAAATGTGTTGAAAATGTCAGCTCAATGCGTTCATTATTTTTATTTTCTGATAAAAACGCTTTGTCCGCGATTTTACCGTACAACTCTCGTATTTCTTATTCCGATAATACAGAAAATGCTATTTTGTGTTTTATTTTATCTGTTTAAATATTGCCAAAAGCAAATTTGATATGGTCAAATATTCAATCAAAAATGACCAAACCTTTGATGTTTTTCTTGAAACATTAGCCTAAGCCAAAGATAGTGTAGACGAGAATGATATTAAAATCTTTTTTTTTTAATTCAAAACCATGATGACCTTAAGTTTACTTATTTAAAACTTATTATCGAACAAAAGGATATCATGTAAAAAGTAATTAATTAAAAAGATTCGACAGGCGAAAAATTGAGGAACAAACTTAACAGAAAATTACCCCTATTCTCTTACATTTATGCAAAGAAAGTCCGTAGATAATTAGCTCATGGATGAATTATTTTTCTTGTGTGAAATTCAAAACGACTTCTTATTGTATACAATAGATAAGTAAATATGTTAAATCGTTCACCAACCGTCCTATGATCATTTGCTTTATTAGATCTTTTTTCAAAGTGTCATTAGATATTAAGCACAATGACAACGAAAAAATTCTACATTATTTCAATAAATGACGAACAACCCACTTGCTTAAAATAGCAATGAAAAGAGAACTTAGCATTCAAAGTTCAGGACAAAATCTGCCAAAAAATAAGGGGAAAAGTATGAAGAACGTGATAGTAAAGGCTGTATACATATTGAATAAAAGAGAGATGACGTCTGAAAATGTAGGGTATCTTGTTAGTATCGTTGATTGCGTTGTGCACTTAATGATCTCTCTGTTGTGTTAAAAACTAGGTGATCATCTTTCTTGATATTTTCAGCAATTTAACTTTCGGCATTTTTGCTGATTGTTATATTAATTGCTACCAATAGTTCAAATTTTCGTTTACTCATTACTCATGGCAGCAATTATATGATTAAAATGGAACATGTTTGTTTCAATAATCAACCTTTACAGAGACAATGCTTTGTGTGGTTCAGATAATTACTTTTTCAAGTTAAGATGTCAAGATATTATCGTGTAATCTTTTAAAACTGTGATTCAATGCATTGTCCCCATTATAACCGACCTTCTAATAGAAAAAAATCACAGCATTTAGTTTTCCAATTAGATAACTATGCAGTTCTTCCTCAGATAATATTAACAAACAAAAAGGTTGTCAGCAATGTGAGATGCACTTATCTTTTCAAATGCTTCAATCTATTTTCAACACAAATTACTGAAAAGGTCGACATGTCATCTATCCCAGTTAATTATATAATTTTTTTTGTAAGTATATGGTACCTAGTTAGTCAATCAAACATTGAATTCAAGTGAATCTTAAGTCTTCGTGATTTTTTCTACATCTTCTCCATGATCGTCATTTTGCTTTAAAAACTAAATACGGCTTTTGAAAATCTAAGAAAAAAATCTTCAAGGTATATTCCTTTGAGAATGTTTCACTCATACTGATATACCACTTTGTGCCGTTGGAGGGCTACAACTTTAGACTTGTTTTCAATGCGTAGAGCCTTTAAGCAGTAAAGGTTGTTTTTGGTGTCTTTAGAGGATCTAGGTAAATACGATCTCATAAGAAGGACTATTGTCTTCTTCGCGCAGGTTCACAACCTGCGATATAAGGATCAACTTCCTACTCCAAGACTCAAAAGCAAACAATCTTACCACTGCGTCAATTGGACTAAAACGACATTGGTAGGAATAAACGGTGTTAATTAAGTCTTAAAGACATCATTGTATCAAATTTATGTTGAAGAATACAACAAGATTCATATGATGCTACATGCAGAAAATGATGACCGATTTTGAACTGTGAAAAATTATATAGTTTTTTTTCACTAAGCAAGTTTAAGGTAAATTTGGTGTTATAAGTATTTTTTCAACAACTATGATGCAGCTAAAACAAAACAATTAAATCCAAGGGAGCTTAGTTCTCTTTTGTTTTTATTCAAAAAGGCAAAATTATCTGGCATTTGTATACCATCACAACAACAACAACGCAAAGATTGGATTTTAAGCTATTGATAGCCAAACAAATAAACATAGCATTAAAGCAATGAAGATGTTTATACGCATGATATCTTATCGTTGGCGGGTTTTAGATGCCTTTAAACGCCTTCCTCGATATAATACATATCCGCTAAAGCAACAAGTTTACACCTTTTTAAAATATGTGACCCAAAAGGTACACCCAGTGTATTAGATTGCAGGTGATAGATCTTTATCTTTTATAGCACTTTTGTTCTAAGCTAAATACTGATACCTTGTCGCTAGCTGGAGAATGGCTTCGTTTAGATGGTTCGCCGAATTTTAGGTGTATCTGAAATCTTTAGAGCCATCCTCATTTACTCTGACGCCTAGTTTCTCTGGCAGACGACTCTCTAGATGTTTGATAAGAGAATATATTTGGAAAAAAAAGTTTCTCATCGATACTTGCACCATGTGATTTGCAATTTGGTAAGAAATACATATGTATCTATACAAACATGCTTTAACTGGAGCTGTTTCAAATGCACATATTAATTATGAACAAGCACTGGTTTCAAAGAAAAAATTCGTATCTTTCTTTAAATAAAAATGAAAGACAAAAGTCCTTTGAATAGTATTTTTAATAGTCTGTAATTAGATGTAAAACAAAAATTTCTCAAATGAATTATACATGAATGCATTATATATGATACATGAATTAAGTTTATTATTATGTTTTAGTAGCTATGAAGCAAAGTAATCGTGTCTCAGTAGCTATACAGGGGAGGAATCACGGGTCTAGGTATCACTAAATGTGTGTTCTGTCTGTAGAATTCAGTCAGCTGCACGGCAGGTTCGGGGTAGGGATGTATATAGGACCCCATCAGCCTGTGAGCACTTGCAATGCTTCCTGCTTCCGCTAGAAGTTCTAGACTAACTGATGTTTGTCGCTTCCATTTTGTTCTGAGAAAAAGAAAGAAATTAATTTACTCATTGCTTTTACGATATGTATCGTGTTAGAAGTATAACATAAATTAACATAGGAATTACTATTGAAGTGTTAATTTTATTCAACAAAATTAAAAATGTTAAATACAGATTTCTGAATTGGTTCAAATAAATATTAAATGTGCTTACCTTCTATTCTGATACCAGGTTTTAACTTGAGTATCTGAAAGACCCAGTTTTGTAGCGAGTTCCATCCTATCCTGAACACTGAGATATTTTTGTCTGGAAAAATGTTTCTCTAAGCTGTGGAGCTGTTGGTCTGTAAAAGCAGTTCGTGCCTTTCGTTGTTTCTTTATCTTGCATGAATTGATATTCCCATAAGTGCTATAATGTGGCCCAGATTCTTCAAACACTTCGGGTTTTGATTCTTTATCTATTTTTCAAAACAAAAAAACCCCAATATATTTGATTAATAGTTTTTACACTAACGTAACGAAATATGTTATTTCATCGAAAGAAATCATCAAACAAAATAAAGTAATTATTACTTCATAGTTGATATAAACATTTATCTTTTACAATCCCGAAAAAATACATATCTATTAGTTTTTACAAAGAAAACTTACCAAGCTGAGGTGAACAGCTCCGATCTGAACAAGGTGAATGGATCGAATCCTCATTGTCGTGTCTGTACAATGGCTCAGATCCTGAAGGACTTCTTTTGATATCTTTATCATCTTTAGATAAAATGTCACTTATCATAAAAGACGACTTTTTGGACGGTGGTTTGGTTACATTTTCCTTAGGAGAAGGGATTGCAATTTGAAAGTCTCTAGTTTCGCTGCGCCCAGAATCTCCTGTTCCCCTATATTCCTCGATATTTCTGTTCCATATTGCTCCATTACACATAGGAAAAGCCATAAGTCCCGACTGATTCACATCAGTGTGATGCATTTCTAGCATATTATCAAATTATAATCCAGTTTCTAGAAGACAGTGTTTACACAACTCCAATTTTTTTTCTCAGTTATATATCAATAATTGCAAAGGTTGATTTTTGAGCTGTGTGTATTAACCAATGACTGCCTCGCAGCTGGATGACATGGGTGTTGCATTACCATTTGGGGCGGTTCTTTGAGTGTTTTGTTAAATATCAGGAAAACATAGCGGCCAGCTTTGAAATTTTTAAAATAGTCCTATCTAACCTCCCTTCCGAAGAAATGAGATATAAATTTCTGAATTTAATTGCTTTATATGGACTCTCTTTTGTTTCACAACATGCATATTTTGGATTTGAATGTTATAATTTTATCATGATTTCTTAATTTAAATCCAAATATCATTTTAATTCTATATTTAAAGATCTTAAGGTTCAATCAAATTCATTGTGCCATTTTTGATTTTATGTATATAATTAATAAGCTTACTTTTATCCGGCAATCTTTCCATTCGATTCTTTTTAAATGAAAAGAAAAACTTTCTTGTACATTCACTTATTACAAGTTTTTCAAATATCTACACCACACGTGTAATCTAATCTTTATGAAGACTCTGAATTTAAAAAATAAAGTAAAGATTAAAAGAAATCATAGTATTTTTGTAGAGTTTGTAAGCAGCAAAGGTAATCAACGTATTTAGAATTTTGCTTTAGTAAACTACAGAAGAATTCTCTTAGGGTGACCAAAGGCTACTTACATTTATACTACTTTCCAGTTATGTCTGGAGGAAAACATGCCAAATGGGCTTTTTTTTCTCTTGGCATAGCATTTCTTAATTTGATTAAATAAAAAGGAATATTTCAATGAAATACTTTCCATTATTGATGAACTTTTCCTTTTTTTTTTTATAGCTTACGCTGGATAAATATTCCAGACCTAAATTTTCCTTGATTTAAAGTCCAATGTTTGTATATTGTTTGTTATATTCACATATTTGTATCTATGATCACGGTGTGAAATATCTTTGATCAAAGAAATTTTCCTATTCTTAGGATATTTAAGAAACTACTAATAAAGAGAGATAAGATTGGCCCAAAGTTTGTTCATTTGAAATTAACAACATGCAATATGGCAATTAGAATTACTATTTTTGTACTTTTAATAGTATAGTAGAGATATTTTATTACATAGATAATCGTTTAACTTTCATTAATATTTATTTAAACTTGGGTTAATATTGATTTATTTTTCCTTAAATATATAATTAAACACTTCCGGTTGTGTAAGACTTAGCCAAAGTAAGATGAAATCTACAATTGTTTATCAGGTTTCATTTAAATGCTTCATAATTATTTTTGAACATATCAATTACCTGTAAATTATTTTTCGGTATTCATCCAGATATTTTTTAAGGATTGTTTTTTATTCAGACTAGAAATAATTGATTGCAAAGACGTAAAGTTCTTTGAAGATTAAAAAAAAACATAAAGTTGTTTAATAACTATTGCGCTCCTATAGAAAGGTATGTGGTCGAGGAAATGTTTTTCATAGTTCTATTCGCCGTATGACATTTTTTTTAAAGAATAGTCTTAAGTGCCTTTAATGAATATTACTTTTTATTCCTTAACAGGTTTATATTTTGTAAGGAAACCAATTCCGTCTATTCCAGTAAAATCAAGTCGATATGTTGAAATGGTTGCTAAAACATCAAGTGAAGCCTTTGTTTCCAAAATGTGATTTGGTCCTCTAAGAATACATTTATTTCCATAGTCAAATTTTACCAGGTTAAGTCTGAAGACAATTCCTAATCGGGTTGTTAGAAAAAAATATTATCAAGATATCGCAGTTTTTTTTATATTCGTAGAAAATCTAAGAACATACATATAAATTAGCATTATGGAAGGAAGTTTAATTTCACCTGATCATTTTTCCTAAAATGACTTTAAAAGGGAACTTTGAAACATATCTTTACTATCATCATGTTTTGACATGAAGGCATCCGATAAAGTGATATGTCTGGGTATAACGTTACAGAACTCCCCTTGTGATTAAGACCTCTGTTGATAGTCTTTATCTTTTTGAACAGTTGAGTTTTCTCAAACATACTTATTATATCCTGTGATTATAGCGTTAAATATCTAAAATTAAGAGATAATTTTAATGAGTTTCTACCACCAAAGTTGTTAAGAGTTGGTGTAATTGTTCGGAACTTGAAATTAAAGCTACGGTTTTGCTAAAAAAATCATCAAAAAATAATATTTTCTGTATAATATCACGACTTATATATTTTGATAGCATTTCACACAAAAATGTAATAAAAATCTTATTTCATCTTAAAGTTATTGAAACTTCAAATTTTTGGATGGGTTTGATTGACACATCCTTGCACTTTCACAAATTTTACTTTTATTCTTAATACTTAGGAGAAGTTGCATTCTTGTTGTGTATAAATGAAAAATATTAACTTTAATCCAGAAAAATAATTATATTCAGAGTAGAAATGTTAGAAAGCAAAACCCCTTCACAGTATCGTCATTCCGCGTTAAGTGTTGTGTACAGAGTTTAGCAAATTGATCAAACCCGTGAAACATAAACAGTTTTGGTAAACAGGACAGACACGAGCTCAGCTGTTATTGTCGATGTTTACGATTCATCGTGAGCGTTCAATTGTTAAAGTCTGCTCACCACAACTGCACGGACTGACAAAATACTGTGTGTATGTTTTGCTTTTGAACATTTCTACTCTGAATTTTCTGGGTTATAGTTTTAATAGTTTTCATTTATACATAACAAAATTGCCACTTTTCCTAAGTATTAAGAATAAAATTAAAATTTGTGAAAGTGCAAGGATGTGTCAATCAAACCCGTCTAAAAATTTAAAGTTTTAATAATTTTTAGATGAAATAAGATTTTTAATATATTTTTGTGTGAAATGCTATTAAAATATATATAAGTCCTAATATCATATAGAAAATATTAACTTCAAATCTGTGTCAATGCACCTTTAAGACTTTATTATTTCATCTTTCAGAAAATTTCGTTTCTGTACTGGAGTAATTAATAATTAATAGATAAGAAAATAATTTTGTTGCACATAATAATTGGATTTTAAAGGAACATGTATTTTTAGCATTCAAAAAAGAAAAAAAAGCAACAGCACCTTTTTAAATAAAAGGTTGATTGAATTCATGTTTTAAATGATAAAAATAAATGTGTTGATAGTGATTCTAGGTTACGCTAGTACTAGTTAATATAAATCTATAAATGGAATCTATAACCGTCAGTCTAAAATGATTTAAAACGATTAACAATTATTTATCTGCAGTGGACTGAATAAATTGTTGAGGTAACGCGTCAAATAATTTTGGCGATTTGCAGAGTTAAGATTAAAAGATAAACTGACTTTTGAAATATTGAGATTTTATTAAATTCTGTCAACAAATGTATATCAAACCGTGCACTGTATTATGTGCATATTTTCGGGTTCATTGCACTATCTAAAGTTTATAACAGTACGCCAGTCAACAGGACAACAGACCTAAACGGTTAATCTCTCTCTCTCGAAGAAAAATTAAAACAACTTGAATAACTGTTCATTGGTAATCAATCATTGGAGAACTTATATTGCTTCTTGCGCAAATACCTTTCTAAGGAATAAAAAATGAAATTCAAGAAAACAAAATTTGGTTAACTTAAAATAAACAAGCATCCTTAGCTCACTGAGTATCGTAGGATTCAACACAAAGGTGTGATGAAATATATGGAGACAACAAATAGTATTCAAGTTCTAAATCCATAAAACACTACAAAATATGAGCAGAGCAAGCACGGACCTCCAAACATTAGAGGTGGGATCAGGTGCAATGGAAAAGTGGACAACCCCTGCACATCGGTCACACCCGCCATGTGCACCTTGTCATGATCTGAAAATAACGGGAAAATCCATCGTCAATTCAGTGTGTAAATAATGGCCTTACAATAAGTATGAAAAACGTCAGTCAGCATTTGACTCAATGACAAATTGTATTATTTGCTGACAACACTGGAGAAGGTCAATGTATCGACAATAGAACTTCCGAAATGATGACTTTAAACGGGACTGCTGATATTCTTGTTTCATTAACTTGTTTTTCAATTATTTTCTGTTTTTTTTTTAGAAATTGTCCATACGTAGAGCATGATCTTGTGTATCGAATTAATTGAGAGATATTAACCCCATATGTAGGTGATGAAGGTATATTGCTGCATAAGTAAGGGAAGTTACGATTGAAAAGTTAAAGCTATCACGTTTATCATAGAACTTGGTTGTTAGATTACCATGAACGTCTTTTTCAATTTAAATATCCAATATGACAGATGTGTCAGACTCTGTGGTATCTTTGATCTCAAGCTCTTCAGATATATCGTATCGACATACGAATGGAAATGGGCATTGTTAATTGATAATACGTCATCGATATATCTAAATGTCGAGTAGAAGGTTACGACAAGTTTTATTTTATTTTCACGTAAAAAATGTTGGACAAATTCTGCTTCATATGACTACAAAAATAATTCTGCTAATAACGGGACACTATTGGAACCCATGGGATTCCAAAAGATTTTTGGAAGACCTGGGTCTTCAAAATTAACAGATAATTACAATCAGATATTCAAGAATCTCATTGATGTCAACTTCAGAGTACATGTGTGTACCATCAGATTTTTTTACCAAATAATTTTGCAAATGACCAATGACAACGTACATGTAAGTGTACCTGGTTTTGAAGTACACGTACCGGTACTTTGATTGACCTAGATTCCTTACTTACTCTCATTTACAGACGTATTGATGCCATGAAAAGATCACAGATAGATAAGAAAAAATGTATATCCATTTTATTCCTTTAAGATTGTTTTGACAGCTTAATAATATTAACGTAAGCATTTTCAAAATAATATCTAGTGAATCGACTATGTCAATTAGTGTTTAAATTATAAATAAAATGTCAAAAATGACAGGACTCATAAGTTCCTGAAACAGCCAGTGGTTTGCAAAGAAATAAAAGTTGAACATATATCT